ATCCTTGCTGCATGCAGTGCATAACGATCTATGCATACACACACATACACACACACGCACACACACACATCACACGTTATAGTGTATGTTTTCCACACTGAATTTCTTCACTTAGTTACTCACAACTGACTCCCAGCTTCATTTATAATCATTCGGTTGATCGATGAAAAAATTCGCTGGGCTTCTTTTAATTTTCCCATTTTCCGTTTGGTGACTGTCTGTTGCTGAATTTCAGATGAAATGAAAGAAAATTGTAATTAAAACTTGAAAATTATTCAATTTTTGAACCCCAGAAAGATAAATCCAAATTATGGTAGTTTTGACACTGATACTGACACTTATATAGCATTTTCTTTAACGTTTGTTTTAAAAATTGCATACAAATCATGATTTCCGAAAGCCTTGGGTCAGCTTTTGGTGTCATTGTGCTGGGTTTTTGTTGTTCATGTACCTTTTTCTCCCCGTAAGTCGTATTCAATAAGATAAAGGTGGTATAAGTTTTTACATACCTTTTCTTTCATCTCATGACTGGTTCAAGCTTCCATTCGTGACTTATATATGCTTGTGGGTTTTGATAGTGATAGTACAGTCAGGGTCATTTTGTTCTGAAATGGGAAGTAAGACTCATGACTCGTGACATGAGGCATGGTCCATGGTGATTGTAATAATGAGTCGTGATGGTATCTCTTCACCACTGTGGTTAACCAAATGGTTGACAATGTTTATATATGCCTTCATTTTGGTTTTGCATTACAGTTCAGATTGGCTTCACTGGCCTTTCCATACTAATTGATCTGCTTTACCGTCAATTTTGATCACAGTTTTCATATTTTACGATTGGTGTGTTATTTGTGTCTTGTGCATCAAATACCATTGGTGTTTACTATTACCGGAATATGGAAAGTGCATGAAATTTTGCCTTAACATATTTTCAAGGTGAAGCAAGAATTTGGGGAACCGGAGTTGTTGGGATTTGTTATCTAAAAAGCACCCCAGTCACCTCTTCATATCAAATCATAGTTGTTGCATCACCGGTTCACATCCAAATCCTTATTTGTCTGTCAAAATTGGTCAATATTTTATAATATTTTATGGATTATTCATCTTAAAGGCCATCGAATGCTTTGGCGGCATTTCCTTACACTGCCCAGGGGACTTCAATTTTATGCTTCTTGCATTTTGTATGTGTTTGTGTGTGCGCCTTTCAAGGCCTTTGGAAGACAATTCCGTAGCCTTTTGCATCTGCATCATACCTTTGCTTTTATATAGAAGGATTGAAGACCTCTCTTTTGGTTATCTTAAATGATCTTTCTCTTTCACTTTCAGGCCTAGAAGGATTTATTTGTTATACTATATTATTTTCCTCACGGCTCCATTTGCTTGTTTCTTTCAGCCGAAGAAAGCTGAAGAGAAAAAGCAGTAACCTGTGTTTGTTTGATCAAATATATCACTGGGGAACGACGCTTTAAAATAGTCAAGTCTGCTAGATTTCCATTCAATGTTTCATTCGGAAAAGAGATAAGTGTATCGGAGTTGGAATTTAGACAATTCTGTCTTCTTGTGTTTTTGCTGCATCGTAGAGGCGTTTGATATATTTAGTTAATGTTGAATCCTTGCTTGGAGTATGAATTGAGGATGATATGAACCATCTTTTCAGTTTTTGACACATTGGTTGGTTCTTACCGTCATTATGACATTGTTTGCAGCTTGCGGAAGCACACACGAGTTCGCCTTATCAACTCGCGCTCAGTGTTAACAACAAAACGATTTTGCATATATGTTTCGGTTTGTACCACCGGACTGCTTTAGCTTATGACATAGAATCCCAAATAGTCGCTTTAGCATTAGAGCAATGAGCATCCAGGATGATTTAGAAAGAAACTAGACTCTTATAGTTTAAACATGTTGAAAGGAAAGATTTAGAGAGATTTTATCTCCAAATATTATTGGATACTACATCTGTGGCGTGTTTACCAATCAGGGTTTGAATGGGGAGAACGGAATGGCAGTCCTTCCAAAACATTCCAGTGTTTATTGGCACTAAGGGGAATCAGAAATTAGGTGGGGTCCACCCAATATCCAGAGTCCAATTCCTAAATTCCCCGGAATTGGATTACCTATAAAGAGTGGTATTTGGACTATGGGTAGAAGGCTACATTAGGAATCAAAGTTTTCTACCCAAAATACACCTTGAGCAATCCCTACCCTTTGTATTTGTGTCTCTCACAGCAAATACAGCCCCCACCATATGATCTGGAACAATGAACGCTCAAATCTAAATCGATGAAAAGTGACTGCATGGCTAGGTTAGGGAGGCCGATGTTAGGTTTTTGTTGTGTTTTGCTAGGTTTATAACTAAAGGATAATTCCAAGAAAAAAAAGGATTAAGTACCCAAAACCCACCAACTTTTTTAAGACTTGTTCTATTAACACCCTACATATTGTTGAATACACTCTACATACTTAATAAACCTCACATTTGCTTTTTCAATTAAAATTTATCTTAATACACTCCACACATTTTCCTACAATACCCTGGCAGCCTTTAGTATGCATGTAAATAAAATAACGAAACATAGTAACTCTTTAAGCCCTAGAGACTAAAGATCAGAAACGAACTTGGCCTCTGTTTGCCCCTCTTCCGGAACATTGTAAAATTCTTGTATTTCTCTCCAGCATCGGCACGAAAATGATCATGTCAAATCTCTTGGTGTTCTAGTCACTCATATCACAGATATCCCTCAGGCACAACGTGATCATTTGATAGCATTCTTAACGCAGTTATAGGCATAATGAAAAATATAAAGTCTTATCTCATATGATGCTTTCAAAACGTCAATTTCAATATAAAGTCTCATCTCATGTGAAGCTTTCAAAACGTCGATTTCATGTTCCATTCGTTAACAATAATTTCTTTCAATCAACATGTTTGTAGGTTCATTGGTTAAGATTTTGTTCCACAATGGAGGGTGACAATAGCTTTGAGAGTTGAAGAAAATAAATAATCTTGAGATATACATGTTAAAAATGATTTGGGGTGTATTTAGAATCTTTTATTTTTTTAAAAAGCGTTATGGGGTTGAAATTGTCATTGCATATTAGTCATTTAATATTAAATTTATATATGAGGTGTATTCAATATTATGTGGGGTACTAATAAAAAAAAAGCCTTTTTTTAATGTCATTTCAAATTTGTCTAAATCTTTTTAAACATTCCAAACAAGTACTCAACGTATTGAAAATATCATATCCGTCAAGTTCCAGTTAAAAATCTGTTAAATTAGCTAGAGCTTACTTTGTCTACAAAATTATAGAAAGTCACGGAAGCATGACCTCCACCAACTAACGGTCACCACCACCCTATCATGCCATCACCTCCAAACCCAACACAAAACCACCAACTCCATCTACAACTCAAGTCACTGACATCGAGACGCAGATCATGGAGGTTGTTGAAATGCTATGGACTATCATGATGTGGCCACCACCATTCTTACCTCCCACAAAGAAGAACTGGAAGCTTTACGAGCTGAGAAATCGGCGAATGAGGAGATCACATGAGTAGAAACAAGTTCCTTGAAACCTTAACTGAATCCTTAACCCTTTTCTTTGTTAGGAGATGGTCCTCCTAATGTAATTTCAATTTGAGTTCATTTTCAATTCAATCAATACTCATTTGATCATGGGGTTCCGTAATATATAACCTATGCTTGAAATTCAGATTTTGAGCCAACTAATATTAATGTTGACCATGATATACCCAATTGATGGCTTTTGAATATAATCTATGTTAACATTAAGTAAGGCTTAACGAATGTGATATTTTCCCTTCTTTTGGTATTATTATTTCTGATGCCGAAGAGATTGATTTCTGTATCTCTACACTGTCACTTTTGTTCAAGCATCATATTTGAGCTGGTGCATATTTATGTGAGCTACTTTATGAGAATATGCATGGAGAACTTTAAGCCTATTGCGTTTTCAACACTGATTGAAGCAGCTATATGGCCTTTCACCCCAAGCTACAGTTCATCCCCGTATTTTTCCACATACGTGGGTTCGGTCCTCCAATGCCTGTTAGAGCTCTCTTCAACCTGCTCATGCCTAGGTCGATCGGTTTCAGGTTAAATAGGAAAAACTAGAAGATTCCACCTCTGGAAAGTGCCTACACCTAATAGCTTAAGCCACTGTTCCCATTTTCTCGATGACCTATCATGCAAATTCAGTGATGAAAAACCATATTTATATTTGTGTTGCCATATTTAAGTGATCTTTTTTTTTTTTTTTTTTCTTCCTGTGAGAGATGATTTCACTTCCATTCTTATGACTCTCAATCATACAGTCGTCCCAAGTTTCTACTGAATCAAATGCTAATGCTCCGGCAAATAAAGCTGAGGATAAAGTTGGAAATGGGAAATACTCCACTCATTCTCTTGATGAAGTTGCTGGAATGATACGGAATACCATATCCGCGTATGGAGTCAAGGTGAGTATGCTGGCTGAACCTGCTTATTACCAATTAGAATTACATAAATGGAAGGCTTGGTTCATTAAGCATAGGTACATAGATGAACGTGGATATGTTTGAGTACAAAATTTATCAATATAGTTTGTAATTTTTAGTAAAACTGAGTATTTTCTATTGTAATCGCAGAATGACAAATTTTCTTGATCAACTCTGTTCTACATTCTTTGATACTTTATTTTGTTTAGAAATAAGGCTATCTGGATAGTGTAAAGAGAAATGGTGATTTTCCTTCAAATTTAAGTTGGTATTTTTCTTTTTTCTTTGTCTTATGACTCTAATCAGAGATAGGGAGCCTTACAAATATAAATATTAAAATGTATTTTAATTCTATATGCTGTATTTATATGCTTCAGATCAAAATTTAGTATCAGCTCATGCCAAACTCCATTCGACCGTCGTTCTTTGCATATCTTCAGTTTAAACCCACGTTCGGTAAGTAGTTATAATTTTATCACTCTTGTTCTTGATGCAGGTTTGCAATACATTCCGTGATCTTGAAGAATCAAATATTCTGCAACCGTATATGAGGGATGCCATAGCAGAAATATCTAAAGCATGTGAAGCTTTCCAAGCAAAGGAATCAGCTCCTTCTATTGCTGGTATCTTAGCTTTCTCTTTACCTGCAATGTGCTGGTTTCTTGAAGTGTTCTGAAGGTTGGACTTGTTTTTGTAATAGTAACTACAACTCGAGCGCTTCAGTCAGAGATTACGAAGATTTATATCCTAAGGCTTTGCTCATGGATGCGGCATCAACTGCAGAGATTTCAAAAGACGAGACATGGGTTCCTGTATCAGTTCTTGAAAGGAATAAATCTCCCTACACAATCTCTTTCTTGCCTCTAGCATTCCGTAATGTTATGACATCAGCAATGGATCAAATCAAGTTGTAAGTCCCTAAGCGTGACTTAATCAAGGGTTTTTATTTGATAGACATGCTCAAGATTTTTTAAGTGTTCATTACCTGTTTCTCTGCAGAAGTTCAGAACATTCACTCATTATTTATGTATTCATCATTAACAGTATTATATATTTCAGGATGATTCAATCTTTAAGAACTGAGGCTACGAAGTCGGAAGAAATGTTCATGCAACTCCAAGAAACACAAGAATCTGTCAGACTTGCTTTTTTGAACTGTATGCTCGATTTTGCAGGTATGATGGATGACTACCTAACTCAACTTCATGTTAAGTATTTAATGTCCGGTTGTGATGCTTCCATTCTCTGCACACTAATCAGGTCATCTAGAGCGCATTGGAAGTGAGCTTTCCGTAAACAAATCCAAAGGAAGTTCACATGTACAAAATGGATATTCTCATACCCTAGAAGAAAAGTCTGATCTCCCAGGAAGTGTTGGCCCACATCAACAGTTGTTAATAGTCTTGAGTAATGTTGGCTATTGCAGAGAAGAACTTTCTTATGAGTTGTACAAAAATTACAAGCACATCTGGCTACAGTCTAGGTATGTGGGCCTTATTTTTCTCTTCATTGAACCGTAGGATATCATCATCGTGTTTCTTGCCCTATTTATTAGGAGCAGTTGGATATACCTGATATATGGAATGTTGTATATAATCCACTGAAGTGGGAACCCAAGAACCAGAAATCATATTGGCTACTATCTTGTATCTTCCACTTTCAAATGGCGTAGTCATATTCAATAACTATTTGGTTGGATCAAGACTGACTAGAATTTGCATGTGAGCAGGCTTTAGGATATTGTTCTTTTGTTTAAAGATTCATTTGTGAAGCAAGGGCTTCTAGTTCAAATGGTTAACTGCATTTACTCATCCACATGAGGTTCTATGTTCAATTCCCCCTCCCCCAATAACACTTGTAGAAAATAAATAAAATGCATAAGTCGATTGTTGAAATCTACTAGTTCACATGAAAATTTGCTACACCTGCGATAAGAATGCGATAATGAAGGTGGTATTGAATTTAGTGTCAAGTAGATAGACCAATGGGTTTTCCTGGCCATTCGAAATGGAGGGTCAAAATGTTCCCTTAGAGGTTAGTCGGGTCAAAGATGTGGATGTTCCAGGTTATAAAAAAAGTTAAAAAACTCAAACAAAGCATTGGACCAGTAGGTGATGCTCATCGATTGATAGTTGACTCATGCTCATTTATTGATGGTTTAAAACTTTTATGCACTTAATATGACCTGTTTGGTTATGCCTGATTACCTTGCTATATATTTTCTATTTACTTTTTATAGGGAAAGAGAGGAGGAGGATGGTGACGTACAAGACCTAGTTATGTCATTTTCTGGTCTTGAAGAGAAGGTCCTTGAGCAATATACTTTTGCTAAGGTATAGTTGAACACCCCAACAAACACGCACATCGATCATGTTCTTCTGTAGGTCTACTATATTATCTTGCTTTTCTCATTTGTCAGTTTGTGTTACTGTGTGGGCATTTTCTACACTTACTGCCTTCTTGGCTAATAAGAAAATGTAGTTAAAGTTATAGGTCCACTTCTGTTGATGTGTTCGTAACTTCATATATGATATAACTAAATGAGTGCAGTGGTGCGTTCTTTCTGAAAGAATCTCTTTTTACTTTGTTTATAATAAGGCAATCCATTTCCTTTGTGCCACACGACATATTCTCTCCCCATTCTTTTGGGGAAGGGGTGAGTTTGCAACTTTTCAGGTTCAACACCTGTTCGGTTGTGTGAGTAAATTTGCCTGCAATCATTCCGTCCTTTATGTGAACACGGCCGACATTTTTTGCTCCTATCATTTGTTCACGAAATTCAAGTGGACATGGATTGACGTTACGATGCACTTTCTTTAGTCCTTTACGTGAAACTTAACAGTTCACTTTCCTCTCAGGCAAATTTGATCAGAACTGCTGCCTGGAACTATTTGTTGGATTCTGGTGTTCAATGGGGAGCAGCACCTGCTGTAAAAGTAAGAAACTTAAGAATTTAGCATTTGGCATTTATAGTTGTACTTCTATTAGTATTTTTTTTTCAATAACTGAACTGGAACCTCATAATAAAATGGTGTCTTGCAGGGTGTGCGTGATGCTGCTGTGGAGTTACTGCACACTTTGGTAGCTGTGCATGCAGAGGTACTTAGTGCAAGCCATGTATTATATTAATTTTTGATGTCTTTATTCTTTAGGCCATAGTATGAATTGGTACGTTGCCTGCTCCAATGATGTAAATATCTTTTTTTTTTTCTTTCTATATGTTATTTTCCAGTGGTTAGGACTTATGCATATATGCAGTTTCATATTCTTAGCTCTAACTTTTGAGTCGTCTTCTCAATAAACTTGATGAAATCAATTTCGACTTTCCAGGTATTCTCTGGTGCGAAGCCCTTATTGGACAAGACACTTGGCATTCTTGTTGAAGGTCTAATTGACACGTTTATCAGCCTGTTCCATGAATATGAATCGAAAGATCTTAGGTCACTTGATGCAAATGGTTTCTGTCAGCTAATGCTTGAGGTAAAAGATTTTTGCAGTATGCATGTTGTATCAAGTTGATGGTTTAATTTGCATATGGCTTTGGTGATGAGCAACAATAAATGGCAATTGCACCACATTCCTTTGGGTGCTCGATGAATGATATTCTCTGAGATAAAACCTTTTTGTTCTAAATGCACCTAATTTTGATAAGATATTAATGTATCCAACACGTTATGCATATAAAAAATGGAAAAATATTTTGACAACTTCCCTTGTAAAAATATATACATATATACATTGTATATGTATATGTGATAAAAATAAAACCTTGAAAGGTTGATGTGAAATAGAAAATTACAGAGTGTTCATTTCATATGATATCTCGTTGGGAGTGAGCAAGTCAGTACCATCATTGATCATGCATAGTCGGATGTGGTTCTAAGAGATTTCCCTTTTGTGTAAATAATGCAGCTTGAATACTTCGAGACTGTATTAAATCCATATTTAACTGCGGGTGCAAGGGAGTCTTTGAAGTCCTTACAAGGTGTACTTCTCGATAAAGCCACTGAGAATGTATCAGAAAATGTGGAGAATCCAGGGCATAATCGACGAGCAACACGTGGAAGTGAAGAGGCGGCTGATGATAGACAGGATGGGATGAGTGTGTCACCTGATGACCTCATTGTAAGAAACCTTAATTCTCTAGTGATTTCTTCTTGTACAATGTTTAAAACACAATGCCAAGTTGACTAGTTGGTTATGGTGACAGGTATGTGTGCATACGTATGCATAGTCGACTAGAATAGTAATATTGGATAGTAAATAGGATGAAAGAAATCTTTACCACGTCAATTGGTTGTCATGTTAAACCTCGTAGTAAAGTTCTATGTTCCCGGTCTTTTTCTTATTTGCAAATAACTCGAAAGTAAATTGTTGAATGCTTCAGGCACTTGCCCAGCAGTATAGCTCTGAATTACTTCAAGCAGAGCTTGAGAGGACTCACATCAACACGGCATGTTTTGTGGAGTCAATTCCGTTAGACTCAGTACCTGAATCAGCTAAACGCGCTTATGCTTCGTTCAGGGGACCGCTAGATTCTCCGAGCAGAAACTACAGAGGCAACACAGGATCCCCAAGCTACTCACGGAATAGGCGTCGATGAATCTGTAAATGGCCCAAGGTTTTTGACTTTCTGAGTTTTTACCATACGTGCTAGTGTTGTTGTACTGTGATTACTCAGCTGAAAGCATATTCTTTTTATTGTTTAAGCCCTCATTGAGCTTTTCTTGTTCTTTATTTTTACCTGACACTGTCAAGCACGACGATGTATATTTCTTTCTATTGTGTTAATGCCAGCATACTTCTTTTATGCTGTTAGATGGTTTTACACTTTTTTTTCTTTTTCTTTTTTTGTATAAAAGAGATATTGGAGGAGAGAGGAATCTGAATACGGGATCTCGAGTGCAAATGGTAAACATTCTTAACCGTTTGAGACATCAATCCATTGCAGTTTGAACCAATTATGGTAAATTTTTCTGTTACCCTGTCATGTAGCCATTATGATGGATGCTCCATTGGCCCGTTTGGAAATGCTTCTCTAAAAAGCAGTTATGTTCATAAGTGTTTTGTAATTCATTTTTTCATTATAATTGGGCTCGTTTGAAAATGAAGCGCTTTTGTGAGAAGCGCAAGTTCTATTGTGAGCAATTTCATGTGCTTCTTTGACAATGAAGCGGTTTTGGTTAGTTGTTATATATCAAGAGTTTATTATCCTTCACAAATTGCAAATACTAATTTGTAAAAGAAATAATTAGACTGAAGCACATTCAGATCAAAAAGCGCTTTTAACTATTTTAAAAGTGCTTTTATATTGAATTACAACACATGTACAAATTTAATAACTGAATTTTGAGAAGGAGACCAATTCAATATATATGCACAGAAACTCTGTTAACAAGTTGAAGTAGTTCCAACTCTTTGAATACAACGGTTGAGATGGATCAAAGTCACATTTAACCCATTCTCACCAACAATACTTGCACTCTGATAAAAACACAATTTATTTAATTAAATTAATAGGTGTTGAGAGTGGTTTCATTGAGATGTAGCGTATGGAACAATCGTCTAGTGTCACCAACATTTTTAAAGACTTTGACATCTTGTCGTCGTTGTTGCTTTCGAGTGCATGAGCTACGTAAACTATGTTTTTATTTATGATTCAAATAAATAAGGAAGTCATAATCCCCAAAGCGGCAATTCTTCTTAATCTCTCAATTCTGTTTCTTTTTATATTTCTAGTTATAACTAGATATAATTTGGTATTAGAAAATGAGATTAAACAACATAACATGTTACTCATAATTAGGTATCAAATTAATCATAAATATTAAATCATTATCTCCTTTTTTTTTTCTTTTTCTTTTTTTAAGAAAGAATAAGTAGTTAGTGGTTATGTCATGACAATCCACTCTTTCGGGGGCTAGGAAGACTCACAGAGGCATTTCAGCTTTCTCTAACCACCATCGTACGATTCACCAATGTCAGAAATCGAATCCAAAACGTACCGTGTTGAATATAGACCTGAAATTCATCCCTATTAAACATGAAATTCATAAATATTAAATCATCATCTTCATTTGTCATCTATAAGATCCGAATTTGATCCATCCTTTTTTGAAAGTGAAAAAAAATATATATATATGAAAAGATTGTAGTGACAGTTGGTATATTAGTTGTAGTGACAGTTGTAGTTAGAGTTGGCATATAAGATTGGGCCGATTCTTGTTCATCCCCACTGCCGCTCACTCTCGAGTAACCAAAACAAAGAAACAAAGAGAGAATCAGTCAGAAATCATGTTGAAGTTCCTATCGAGAGTGAGGATCGAGTTCAATGCCTTGGACCCCCGAACGGCATCGTGTTTGGAGTTCCTGGCGCAGTGCAACGCCCGCAAGGCCAAGGAGTCCAACCCCTCTTGCGCCGTCCAAGTCAAGCGCCGCACCGACGACCAGCCCCCCAAGATCACCGTCACCTTCGTCAACGGCGTCGAGCAGGTCTACGACGCCACCGCCACTCCCGCCCAGGACATACGCAACATGATCCTCGAAAAGGGTTAGAGCCTCGAGACCGAGCAGATGTTCCGCGACGCTGGCGAGTCCTGGCCCGTTATTATCCCCGCCGACGAGCTCCATCAACCGGCCCCTGGCACCAAGGTAAAAAAAATTACATTTTACTCCTAAGGGCTAAGTGCTTTTGTGTGTTAGCAAATGTATCCTTCTTCTGTCTGTGGCATTTCGTCGAACATGTAACGTGCATTGCTTGAAACTTGTAATTATGCTATTCTTTTGATTGATGTAAATGTTATCACCATTGTTGATTGCTATCCTTGCTGCAAGCAGTGCATAATGATCTATGCACACACACAGACACACACACACCCACACCCACACCCACACCCACACGCGCGCATACACACACACGCGCGCGCACACACACACACACACACACACACACATCACACGTTATAGTGTATGTTTTCCACATTGAATTCTTCACTTAGTTACTCACAACTGACTCCCAGCTTCATTTATAATCATTCGGTTGATTGATGAAAAAATTCGTTGGGCTTCTTTTAATTTTCCCATTTTCCGTTTGGTGACTGTCTGTTGCTGAATTTCAGATGAAATGAAAGAAAATTGTAATTAAAACTTGAAAATTACTCAATTTTTGAACCCCAGAAAGATTATTCCAAATTATGGTAGTTTTGACACTAATACTGACACTTATATAGCATTTTCTTTAAGGTTTGTTTTAAAAATTGCAAACAAATCATGATTTCCGAAAGCCCTGGGTCAGCTTTTGGTGTCATTGTGTTGGGTTTTTGTTGTTCATGTACCTTTTTCTCCCTGTAAGTCGTATTCAATAAGATAAAGGTGGTATAAGTTTTTACATACCTTTTCTTTCATCTCATGACTGGTTCAAGCTTCCATTCATGACTTATATATGCTTGTGGGTTTTGATAGTGATAGTACAGTCAGGGTCATTTTGTTCTGAAATGGGAAGTAAGACTCATGACTCATGACATGAGGCATGGTCCATGGTGATTGTGATAATGAGTCGTGATGGTATCTCTTCACCACTGTGGTTAACCAAATGGTTGACAATGTTTATATATGCCTTCATTTTGGTTTTGCATTACAGTTCAGATTGGCTTCACTGGCCTTTCCATACTAATTGATCTGCTTTACTGTCAATTTTGATCACAGTTTTCATATTTTACGATTGGTGTGTTATTTGTGTCTTGTGCATCAAATACCATTGGTGTTTACTATTACCGGAATATGGAAAGTGCATGAAATTTTGCCTTAACATATTTTCAAGGTGAAGCAAGAATTTGGGGAACCGGAGTTGTTGGGATTTGTTATCTATAAAGCACCCCAGTCACCTCTTCATATCAAATCATAGTTGTTGCATCACCGGTTCACATCCAAATCCTTATTTGTCTGTCAAAATTGGTCAATATTTTATAATATTTTATGGATTATTCATCTTAAAGGCCATCGAATGCTTTGGCGGCATTTCCTTACACTGCACAGGGGACTTCAATTTTATGCTTCTTGCATTTTGTATGTGTTTGTGTGTGCGCCTTTCGAGGCCTTTGGAAGACAATTCCGTAGCCTTTTGCATCTGCATCATACCTTTGCTTTTATATAGAAGGATTGAAGACCTCTCTTTTGGTTATCTTAAATGATCTTTCTCTTTCACTTTCAGGCCTAGAAGGATTTATTTGTTATACTATATTATTTTCCTCACGGCTCTATTTGCTTGTTTCTTTCAGCCGAAGAAAGCTGAAGAGAAAAAGCAGTAACCTGTGTTTGTTTGATCAAATATATCACTGGAGAACGACGCTTTAAAATAGTCAAGTCTGCTAGATTTCCATTCAATGTTTCATTCGGAAAAGAGATAAGTGTATCGGAGTTGGAATTTAGACAATTCTGTCTTCTTGTGTTTTTGCTGCATCGTAGAGGCGTTTGATATATTTAGTTAATGTTGAATCCTTGCTTGGAGTATGAATTGAGGATGATATGAACCATCTTTTCAGTTTTTGACACATTGGTTGGTTCTTACCGTCATTATGACATTGTTTGCAGCTTGTGGAAGCACACACATGAGTTCGCCTTATCAACTCGCGCTCAGTGTTAACAACAACACGATTTTGCATATATGCTTCTGTTTGTACCACCGGACTGTTTAGCTTATGACATAGAATCCCAAATAGTTGCTTTAGCATTAGAGCAATGAGCGTCCAGGATGATTTAGAAAGAAACTAGACTCTTCTAGTTTAAACATGTTTGAAAGGAAAAATTTAGAGAGAGGGGGGCTTTCTAAAGGGATTTTATCTCCAAATATTATTGGATTCTACATTTGTGGCGTGTTTACCAGTCAGGGTTTGAATGGGGAGAACAGAATTGCAGTCCTTCCAAAACATTCCAGTGTTTACTAGCACTTATAGAATAGAAATTAGGTGGGGTCCACCCAATATCCAGAGTCCAATTCCTAAATTCCCCGGAATTGGATTACCTATAAAGACGTGGTATTTGGACTCTGGGTAGCAGGCTCCATTAGGAATCAAAGTTTCTACCCAAAAAACACCTTGAGCAATCCATCCCCTTTGTATTTGTGTATCTCACAGCAAAACCGCCCCCACCATATGATCTGGAACAATGAACGCTCAAATCTAAATCGATGAAAAGTGACTGCATGGCTAGGTTAGGGAGGCTGATGTTAGGTTTTTATTGTGTTTGTTAGGTTTATAACTAAAAGATAATTCCAAGAAAAAAAAGGATGAAGTACCTAAAACCCACCAATTTTTTGAATGTCATTTGAAATTTGTCCCGAGTCTTTTTAAACATTCCAAACAAGTATTCAACTTATTGAAAATGTCATATTCGTTAAGTTCCAGTTAAAAATCTGTTAAATTAGCTAGAGCTTACTTTGTCTTCAAATTATAGAAAGTCATGAAAGCATAACCTCCACCAACTAACAATCACCACCACCCTATCATGCCATCACCTCCAAACCCAACACAAAACCACCAACTCCACCTACAACTCAAGTCACCAACATCGAGAAGATCATGGAGGTTGTTGAAATGCTATGGACTATCATGATGTGGCCACCACCATCCTTACCTCCCACAAAGAAGAACTGGAAGCTTTACGAGCTGAGAAATCAACGAATGAGGATCACATGAGTAGAAACAAGTTCCTTGAAACCCTAACTGAATCCTTAACCCTTTTCTTTGTTAGGAGATTGCCCTCCTAATGTAATTTCAATTTGAGTTCATTTTCAATTCAATCAATACTTATTTGATCATGGGGTTCCATATTATATAACCTACGTTTGAAATTCAAATTTTGAGCCAACTAATATTAATGTCGACCATGATATACCCAGTTGGTGGGTTTTGAATATAATCTATGTTAACATTAAGTAAGGCTTAACGAATGTGACATTTTCAATAGGTTGAGTACTTGTTTGGAATGTTTAAAAATGTTGAAACCAATTTGAAATGACACTAAAAAGTTGGGAAGTTTTAGGTACTTAATTCAAAAATAAAACTGAAAGATAATTAATGGCGTGTTTTAAAGCTTTTTTCACAAAGTTTTAAACAACACAAAAGAATTAGAGTTTTAATAAAAACACAAAGAAAAGAATTATTGGCATAAAAATTATTTACTTAGAATAAGGGCTTTTTAGTAATCACATAAGTTTATATTCCAATCAATTGAATTAGTAAACATCTTATATGAATCAATATCAATCATACTCTGATTCTACTAAGTTTTAGTAAACAACTTAAACAGGAATATGATTCTGACTCCACCTCATTCCAACTCCTTATCAATTCAATTCCTCCTTAATTCAATTCATCTTCAATTCAATTTCTCTTGTTCTGATTACATATTAGTAAACGAGCCACTAGTTTACTAATCACATTCCTTATCAATATTAACTACAACACTCCACTTGAGTGTGTAAAAATTAAGAAGTAGGGATATCAGGTCTTCTGGCAACGTGTATGTCAAAATGAAGCTTGTGAAGAGTGACAATTTTTATACCTCCGCCGGAGTGCAACACTGGCCGGAGAACCTCGAATTTCACCGTCAAAGTCGTGGATTGCCGAAAAATAGTGTACCTCGTCGTGGACTCGTCGGAGATTCAACGTCTAATCTGTCGTTTGGGTTTTGTTCTTGGGACCAAGAGCTGTCGAATGGTGGTGGACCGGTGGTTAGTGTTGTCAGGGTGGCTGAAAAAGGGGCCAATCCCCAGCATTGAAAATCTAGAAAACATCCAGCATCGATACGCCTTGTACGACGGTCCAACGTTGAGAATTCTGGGTGGGAAATGATCGTGGGGTGGCGTTGAGTTGTTACCAGTGGTGGCGTCGCTTGAAGCCACCGGATTTGGCCAAGAAAGCCGTCGAAAAAGTTGCCTAGAAACTAGTTCAATGTCGCAATTCTGATTAGTGACTCGAGTTGTGCAACTGGTTGCTTTTCTAAAAATGGCTAGGTGCCCCTTCCAAAAATCTGGGACCTTCTATTTATAGAAGATCCAATATACAAAAATATCCTTGATTTCCTTACCTATTTCTCCTTCGTTTTAACCTGGTTTCGCAAATGGTTTTTACCTATGCGTTCGTCGGATCAAAGTCTATCCAAAAATGCTAAGAGTAACTCCGAAAGGTTAACGGACTTTTATACCTATTTGTGGAAAATCAAACTTTAACTAAGAAACCAAAAATCCAAAATTAATGAAATTAAAATAATTTGACGAAATTGCAGGGTAAAATCATTGAACAGTGAAATCCAGGGACAAGATTTCAAAAAATTAATTAATCAAATTTAATGGAAATAACAACTGTTATTTATAGGGTTCCAAATTTTCAAACTCACCAAATTTCAAATTTACTTGGGAGAATGAAGTATGACGTCGAGTATTGTGCAAGGACTCTGAATGCGACTCGAAGAAAGCAAGCAACACGTTCTTTTTGTCAAACAAATTGAAAAATATTCAAACCAACTTCGCCTCAGTTTTGAACATGCGGTGTGGAAGTTGAGTGAGTTTCGAACGCTGGGCCGGATACAAGAAGCACTAGACAACTTCGATTGAGTTTCGAACGGGAAGGAAGTCGACTACAAATTTTTTGAAATCATTCGCAAGAGGGGGAGATTAATTGTTGTCGGGTCCTATTTTAGATTTAATGATGGATCATTTATGATCCAGTTTCACCCTTAGATTGTTATGATTGATTTGTTTTCGACTGGTAAGATTAGATTCAACATATTATATTTTGTCCACACGTAAGGTGCGCAAAGTGCAGTTCGCACCTTACATAAAAAAATTACATTAAATAGAAGGCATGAATAAACTATCAACCCAATAATGTGATCAAGAGTATTGATATAGAAAAGGATTATTGCATTGCAATTCCAACTGAATAGGTAGTTGGAATAGGTTCTCCGCATCTTCTGCTTAGTTGTCTTTTACATCTGTGATATTACAGGTGGTTGATGGAGTTCACATGATATTTTTCCCAAAACATAATCCTGATGCTTTAATGAGTGCTTTCTCACTTATGATTTCAAATGGGAAACTTTCTAAATTTGCTCGAACGGTTGCCTCTTCGGGAAGGCTGCTTGCTACGAACTTGCTGGCATCAGAATGCATAACCGGTTATGCAAGGCTTTTGGAGAATGTGCTAAATTTTCCATCAGATGCTCTGCTGCCAGGGCCAATCTCTCAGCTTCAACAGGGTACATGGGAGTGGAATTTGTTAGGGAATGAAATCGATTACAGAACAGGAAATGTTATGGACATTGATGAGCAGTCATCCTGGAAAAACACTGGTGTTGTTAATGCCCTAGAAGAAGACTTGCTGGGTTTTGGTTACTCACCAAACATCTCTGAAAATGTAACTTGGGATTCGGCATTAGATATTCCAACTCAATTAGATTGGGATCTCTTCAAGGAAATTGTAAGCTCGGAAGAATATGAGACATTAGAAATGGAGGAGGTATGTCATTTCCTGAAAATACAGAACTTGTGTGTCTCTAGGTCAATTCCGACTCTTCTTTTCCCTCCCCTTTTATGTTAATATAGTCATTCTCGAAAGACATCTGAAACAGGGCATTCTTTCTTGTAGCTATCAGAAAGAATGGAGAAAGATCCTGGTTTATGGGATGACATATATCGTAATGCTCGAAAAGCTGAAAAGCTTAGATTTGAAGCAAATGAGAGGGATGAGGGTGAACTTGAGAGGACAGGCCAGACAGTATGCATTTATGAGATATACAGTGGGTCTGGGACCTGGCCGTTCTTGCACCATGGCTCTCTGTACCGTGGATTAAGCCTTGTGAGTTCCTTTTTTATTCTTTCTATTTTTTTTTTTTTGTATGCTGTATGTTTTTTAATACCTTCAAGATTCATTATTTTCACTATTCTCTTGGTTAAACTTATCATCTTTTCTAATATCCTATGCTGTATTAAGATGCATTTCTTGTAAGGACAACAATGAAAGCTTTAAACTTGCGTTTACTGTATGCTTTCATTTAATTAACAGCTAGAAACTTTGTTTTAATGCAAAAGCTCCAGTTCTTTTTGAAGTTTCAAAATAATACTTACATCTGAACAGTTGCCTAATGTTTTTTAAATTATCCTACAATGTATGTGGTAGTCAAAAAGAACACAGAGGTCAACATCAGATGATGTGGATGCTGTTGACCGGCTTCCCGTATTGAATGAAACTTACTATCGCAATATTCTCTGTGAGATTGGTGGAATGTTCGCTATTGCAAACAAGGTGGATAGCGTTCATAAGCGACCTTGGATTGGGTTTCAATCTTGGCGTGCTGCTGGTAGTAAGGTATTTCTTATTTTTGGTAATTTTATTCAGAAGCATTTGTCTAATCTCATTTAAGTTCCACAATCAATCTTGTCCGGTGGTCCAAACTGTATATTTAATTGGTTTCTGTTTAATTATTGTCGCTGCAAAAAAATAAAAATAAATAAATAAACAAAGTATAGTCATGTAATTGCCATCCTTGTCGTCCAAGCAAATAGATGAACACAATATTCTGAATAAATATAGAATAATCGGGATCATAAATAGCTATATAACATTTTATGACTTATATTTTGCATGGATGACTCGTGTTTGCCTACAAACATACATTTCTATATAGACACACAAAACTCTAGATTCCTTTGAATGGTTTTGGTGACAGATAAATTGAACAGAAGTATAGTTACAAGGAAACAAATATGGTAGAAGTATTGAAACTTGTACATAATGATTGACGTATGAATTTATGTAGGGGTGTGTGTGTATAATCTATACTCTGTATACATATAATATTGTTCTTTAGGGCACGTTTTGATACATGGGATTTGTTTGGGTTGGGTTGGTTCTATATACGCCCCTCATTTTAAATGGTACAAAATAAGCCTGCATAAGGGTCCCAGCTTATCAGTTGTTTATTAACCCCATGTCTGGTCCAAGCTGATATTGGTGTTGAATAACCCATATCAGTCCTAGTCCAGTCAATCAAACACCTCATAAGTGCATGTAGGCATGCATTGTTCTTTAGTTTGCCATCATATTCATCATTGTTTTTCAAAGCAGGTTGCTTTGTCCAAGAAAGCTGAAAGGGTTTTGGAAGAAGCAATACAAGACAACACAAAAGGTGATGTGATATACTTTTGGGGACGCTTGAACATGAATGGTGGAGTGACAGGAAGTAAAGATGCACTCACGTTTTGGTCTGCATGCGACATCTTAAATGAGGGACACTGCAGGTACTTGTATGGAATATTAGTTGAACATTTCGTGAATGAGATATAACTGTGATTGTTGTCAAGGGTTTGGGAATCTAATAAGTGATGCCATGCTCCACAGAGATACCTCCTTGAATGAGGAATTCTTTGGTGAGGCAGCTGTATGCAACCACTCTCTCACAGTGGGTGGGACAGTGGCCGCATAGGGCTGTCCGGTACAAGAATTTGTCCTTTTAAACAAGTGAGTTTTAACGAAAAGCCCATGGTACTGTTCACTTTAACGAAAAACCACATTTTTACACTAAAAAGTCAAACCTGGTACTATTCACTTTACTCTTTATTTTGTCCTTATCATTAAAACTCATAGTTTTCAAGCTTTTTTCATTAGTTTTCCTTTTAAACAATGGATGTTGGTATTATGAGAGTGAGGTTCCCTATTGTCATCCAATGCCAATGGTACACTTAGAGCCAAAATCCATGGAATAATGAGTCCAGTTGCGTTACTCTATACGGTAAATTTTGGGTATACAATACACTCCAACCACAACTTACCTTTGATGCTAGCTCAGTGGGTCTGGCTGAGGCACATTGGTTTCTCCCGGGTGGTCTTAAGCTCTAAAACCCCAAGATACCAATCTAGCAATTGCTAGTGTGTCCTGCCCTAAAAAATTGTCAGGTTCGGTGGTGGACCTCAGTTTGGAAGCTGTGTGAACGAAGCTGACAGGAATCATGGATTACAAAAGTTAATTTTCTTTATCTACCGACTACTCTCTAATATTGTCAAGCACAAAAATAGAAATACGAAGGTGTAGAGATTTTGTTTTTCATGAACCCAAATGATGGGGGCATTGTCAATCTCAAAATGTGTGCATGGCTGCATGTGCAAAACGTTAATTCATATAGATATTCACACAGATTTATGAGGCATTTAGGTTTCTTATATCCATAAAGCAAATGCCAATGAGTTCATTAATTCATCAGAGTATGATTTTTTTTTTTTTTTTTTTTACTTAAAATGAATGCAGAAACGTTTTTGAAGATGCATTTCGTTGGATGTATAACTTGCCCTCAAATACAGAAGCTCTCCCTCCCATGCCAGAAGATGGTGGTCACTGGTCTGCCTTGCATAGTTGGGTGATGCCAACTCGTTCCTTCGTTGAGTTTGTCATGTTTTCTCGGTAATTTAATCACAACATTTTCTGCTTTTCTGTTACAGCTCCTGAGACAAAGGAACTTGCGGATGATTAATATAACTGAAATTTTGTATTTAAACTACAGGATGTTTGTTGATTCTCTGGATGCCTTACACGCCAATTCTGGCAATAGAAGTATTTGTTTGTTGGGTTCTTCAGAACTTGAGGTATGTTATTTAGATCACGTTTTCTGGTCTCACATGGAGTTTAACATTCGTCACTTACATTTTTTAAATATCAACAGAAAAAGCATTGTTACTGTCGGGTATTAGAAGTCCTTGTGAATGTCTGGGCTTATCATAGTGGACGAAAGATGGTTTTTATAGATCCAATTTCTGGTGCACTGGAAGAGCAGCACCCGGTTGAGCTACGGAAAGGATTTATGTGGGCTAAGTATTTTGATAGTGCATTGCTAAAGAGTATGGATGAAGATTTAGCAGAAGCTGCAGATGACGGTGATCATCCAAGGGAGATGAGGTTATGGCCACTCACCGGGGAAGTGCATTGGCAAGGAATTTATGAGAGGGAGAGGGAAGAGAGATATAGACTAAAGATGGACAAGAAAAGGAAAACAAAAGAAAAGTTATTTGAAAGAATGAGGCATGGATACAGACAGAAGTCACTTGGAGGATAGAAAGGTTATACTTGTAGTTGAAATGGTCTAGTTTCCGTCACACTCGAATTGTGATACAGCTACTGAACACGCTATTTCTCAACTGTGGAGTGCGAAAAGGACTCTCGACGATTGAGGATAAGATTTATTCTTTCTAACAGCGACAGCATGGTCTGGCAAGACGGATTTTGTAGGTATTTTTCTCCGACAGGATATAGATATTCAAAGTGGATGGAAGACGGTAGCTTTTCCAGCGATGGCAGCTCACTTAGCATGTGGGGCATGTACCGTCGCATTTGAAGTGGCAGAGAGATGTCAGGTTTTTGAGCAGTACACACAACATTCGTTGAAATTCTTTTTCACAAATTGACAGCATCATGTATTCTTTTGGCAGTGCTGATAGGAAATTTTGATTAAAATAAAAAGCAGTTGTTGGCAGTTTCTTGTTTTGATTTTTGTCACACTGAATCGACCAGCGATTTTATTGTTCGTGTTGGCAAAGATTCGACAAGATTAACTACTTGTGTTGGCCCAACCGACTATGTTGGTTTGGTTTCGGTTTTGGCTAACCGAGCCAAACTGACCCGCACACATCCCTATTCCACGTTGTGTTGTACATAGAGATGGAATGAATGGAAAACTGCAGAAATGTTATAGGGTAAGAGCATCTCAATCATTCTTTGTGTTTTATAGATGTGTTTAGGACTTTCTCACCGGTGTGTGAGTGCTCCTAATTCCGTCAATCCGCTCAGTCGTCGGCCCTAGCAGTGGCCAGGGTAGGTGGCATCCCTTTTTCTTCTTCTTTTGTCTCTCTTCCCTTATCTGTGCGACTGGCTTTCTCCATGTTTTTCAACCCGTTTTTCATGGTAATCCACCCCTTATGACCTCCGATCTTACCTTGCATCGGCCTCAATTAGAAAGTCCCACTTCGAACCTTCTTTTTCTTCTTCTCCCTCAAGTTTTTCCACCTCCGTGACTTTAATCCAGCCATCTATTGACTTTTCTATTTGCTTCTGTCCTCCATTGTTCTCACACATGTCCGATTCTACAACCATATCTTTCGCCCGCATTTTGCGGATTTCTCGGAAGGTGTGTAGAGCTTCAGCTTGGGTGTACGCACCACCACCTTCCAATTGTATGTCGTTTTCGACTTTGTTGCTGGGGGAAGTTCTTTCCCACTGGCTTCTTCCTTTGGTGGTTGCAGTTTTGATTTGTGTGGTGCTTGGTGGAGGAAGATGGAGCCTTCATCTTTTCTGATTATGGGGCTGTGTTTGGTGCGATCTAGGGCATGGAATGCTGGCTTGTGGTCGACGGCAGGTACTTTGACGGCGGCGAAGGAAGCTAGTCTTTTAGGGATTTTTTGCTTTTGTGTTTTTCTGTTTTGGGCTCTTCCCTCGGGTTGGGTTTTCGTTTAGTGTTGGGGGTTCACTTTTTGTTTTGTGTTTAAAGTGTATTTGGGCCCCCTTGTATGTACTTGTACTCTCTTAGTAATAAAAATTACTTTTGACAATATATATATATATATATATCAAAAATAGTTTTTTGGAAGCTCTTTAAGAAAATTTACTTCAACCAGGGGTTTAGAGAACTGTTGTTAGCACTCCATATACATCCCTGAATCCGAATCTGAACCGAATAATATATATAATATATAGTAGAATAGAGAACTGTTATTAGTATTTCAAAAATTTCATTATGCACTCTCATAAATGTATTTTTCTTTCTAATTATAGAAAGTTTGGAATGCCAAATGAGATTTTTGAAATGCTAATAACAATTTCCATAATATATATAAATATTATATTTATATTTGAGTGAACCTATACTACTATTACCATATTCATTAATCACCGCATAAATATTTAGTATATAATATAATAGTATTCGCTGAACCTTATACTATGTTCATTATGCGCCAAATATCATGCTTATGGGAGATATCAACAACCAACATTATCATTGTTTTATTCAATACTACTATTTTTACACTTGCCAAAATTCATTCATTGTTATGTTTTTTATTATTGGACGTGGCTTGTCACATCCCGGCCCAGACCCCCACCGCATCCCGAGCTCGACTCCATCGTAGCACGATATTGTCCGCTTTGGGCCCTTACCACACCCTCACGGTTTTGTTTCTGGGAACTCACACAAGAACTTCCCAATTGGTCACCCATCTTGGGAATGCTCTTGCCCAAACTCGTTTAACTTCAGACTTGAAGCCAGTGAACTCCCAAAAGGCCTCGTGCTAGGTAGAGATGAGAATATACATATAAGGCTTACAGGATCCACTCCCCTGGGCGATGTGGGATGTTACAATCCACCCTCCTTAGGGCCTTGACGTCTTTGTCGACACACATTCGCCCAGGGATTGGCTATGATACCAAATTGTCATATCTCGGCCTGGGCCCCCACCACATCCCAGACTCAACTCTATTGTAGCACGATATTGTCCGCTTTGGGCCCCTACCACACCCTCATGGTTTTGTTTATGGGAACTCACACAAGAACTTTCCAATGGGTCATCCATCCTGGGAATGCTCTCGTCTGAACTCACTTAACTTCGGAGTTCCTATGGAACCCGAAGCCAATGAGCTCCCAAAAAGCCTCGTGCTAGGTAGAGATGAGAATATACATATAAGGCTTACAAGATCCACTCCCCTGGGTGATGTGGGATGTTACATGGCTATTTAATGACGAAATTAATATCTACTAAATTATTGTGCGTCAATTGGATCAAAATAAATTTTTGTCTTTGAAAGTGAAAAAAAAATATATATATGAAAAGATTGTACTGACAGTTGGTATATTAGTTGTAGTGACAGTTGTAGTTAGAGTTGGCATATAAGATTGGGCCGATTCTTGTTCATCCCCACTGCCGCTCACTCTCGAGTAACCAAAACAAAGAAACAAAGAGAGAATCAGTCAGAAATCATGTTGAAGTTCCTATCGAGAGTGAGGATCGAGTTCAATGCCTTGGACCCCCGAACAGCGTCGTGTCTGGAGTTCCTGGCGCAGTGCAACGCCCGCAAGGCCAAGGAGTCCAACCCCTCCTGCGCCGTCCAAGTCAAGCGCCGCACCGACGACCAGCCCCCCAAGATCACCGTCACCTTCGTCAACGGCGTCGAGCAGGTCTACGACGCCACCGCCACTCCCGCCCAGGACATCCGCAACATGATCCTCGAAAAGGGTCAGAGCCTCGAGACCGAGCAGATGTTCCGCGACGCTGGCGAGTCCTGGCCCGTTATTATCCCCGCCGACGAGCTCTACCAACCGGCCCCCGGCACCAAGGTAAAAGAACTTACATTTTACTCCTAAGGGCCAAGTGCTTTTGTGTGTTAGCGAATGTATCCTTCTTCTGTCTGGCATTTCGTCGAACATGTAACGTGCATTGCTTGAAACTTGTAATTATGCTATTCTTTTGATTGATGTAAATGTTATCACCATTGTTGATTGCTATCCTTGCTGCATGCAGTGCATAACGATCTATGCATACACACACACACATCCCACGTTATAGTGTATGTTTTCCACACTGAATTTCTTCACTTAGTTACTCACAACTGACTCCCAGCTTCATTTATAATCATTCGGTTGATCGATGAAAAAATTCGTTTGGCTTCTTTTAATTTTCCCATTTTCCGTTTGGTGACTGTCTGTTGCTGAATTTCAGATGAAATGAAAGAAAATTGTAATTAAAACTTGAAAATTATTCAATTTTTGAACCCCAGAAAGATAAATCCAAATTATGGTAGTTGTGACACTGATACTGACACTTATATAGCATTTTCTTTAACGTTTGTTTTAAAAATTGCATACAAATCATGATTTCCAAAAGCCTTGGGTCAGCTTTTGGTGTCGTTGTGCTGGGTTTTTGTTGTTCATGTACCTTTTTCTCCCCGTAAGCTGTATTCAATAAGATAAAGGTGGTATAAGTTTTTACATACCTTTTCTTTCATCTCATGACTGGTTGAAGCTTCCATTCGTGACTTATATATGCTTGTGGGTTTTGATAGTGATAGTACAGTCAAGGTCATTTTGTTCTGAAATAGGCTGTTAAACATAAAAGCTCCACAATTTTACATGAGTAAAATGACATATTGAAGCTTTGAAATCCTAATATATTCATCTTCCCAATTACTTTAGTTTGCTCCAACCTCTTATTCAATGTGGTGTCTATTTACAAACATGCAATAAAGACGAAGTAAAAAAAAAAAAAATCCAAGAACGGGCTTTTAATTTGTCTTTACGAGCAGAGATTGAAATATATTAGAGTTTTAAATGCGATTATGCATCTCTATGACAGATTGCGCATACAATACTTATGAATTGAAGCCACATACTCCAAATGATATCGGATCATAGGAAACAAAGCCACGTTACATACAACATGCATGAGTTGACACCATACGTGCGTCTTAAATCTTCTAACAGAAGATAACACACATTTACACAAGTTCATTCCACTAAGTTAGGCTCGAGTTTATACCAAACCTCATTATTGCATGAATGTTTCATTTGGTCGAAAACAAAATAAATGTAAGGATGCCGACAGGACGGATTGCGTCAAACATAGAAGCTCTCAAAAATTGACGAACCAAGATAGATTTTTGTTGCTTATTAATGAATTATAAGATTTTATGAACAAAGAGCAAAGCCTTACTAGTTAACAAACAAACAAAAACAAAAATATAAAAAAAAAATAACTGAAATTTAACTGAAACAAACAAATAAACATCTTCGACTTGTTTATAAGTTGATGCAGACGATGAATCATGTTATCAATCTTCTTCTTCCACCTCTAAAGAAGTTTATGGGTGCTGGACTGCAGGCTTGCATAGAGAGGCTGCATGTTTGATCATGTTGTTTTTAACCATGGAAAAATGGTGCTAGTTTGAATTGTCTCTGGGATGTTGCTTTCGAAAGACTGCTGGATTCTACCGTTTTTCTAAAATTAACTGCATTCTAAATCATAAGAAAATCAATCAAATTTGTACTTTTTTTTATTTACAAATTGGGTCTGAAATGCCTTGTAAAACTAAAATAGCAATGCCAGGAAGTTGCAACTTAATCGGTAAAAGAGAAGGCTGGTTTACCTTTGAAAATTTCTTTTGAGAGAAGAAAACTTGAATAAGAAAGCCTCAAGGGCAACCGGTACATTGTTAACGTTCAAATATAGGAGGTCAACAAATGACTAGTGCGATAACCCTTCGTCAGTGTCGATGTGCTAGTGGTGCAAAAACAAGAAATTGAAGTAGTTCATCTCGAAAATCCAACCTCTTCTTTGGGTTATTCCTCCTCTTTATATGGACCTTGCCTTAGTTCAAAAAATCTTGGGCTTTTTAGTCTCGGACCGCAAGCCATCCTTCCTATGAGCGGCTAACATGTGGAGCGGAGTTAACATCCAAGCATGTCTACTCTTTGGGTTAGAGATGGGTTTAAAAAACTGAAAATCGAAAAAAACTGAAATGAATACCAAACCGAAAGAGAAAAAAACCGAACGAAAAAAAAAAAAACTGAAACTGAAGTAAAGAAACCGAATTGAACCGAAATCTTTTAGTTCAGTTTTGATTTTGATGGTTTGAAAATCGAACCGAACCGATTTAAATATAAATTAATTTTCTTTGTTAATTTAAGTTAGGTATTTATTTTCTATTCCCAATTCTAGCCAATCATCAACTTAATTTTAGACCCAAATATGTTCTATCTCAGCTTGGCTTTTTGGACCAGGTCTCCAGCTAGAATCATCCTTTAAACTAACAACCAGTGTCATGATTTTTTTTTTTGTCAACAGCCAGCCTTCCCATTGTTTTCTAGAGTTTCTGCAATTGTGGCAATAGGCATTTGCAAAGTAGAGAGCTCCACCTTGTGCTATTGCAGACACATCTGCAAATCAATAAAGCGCCATACAAGCATATATATACACATATATTCGTATATAGGCAGAGAACTTCTAGAACTCTCAACTCTCCCCCAGCCGCTGCTTGTGAATATTTAGATTTTCAAAAATAATTTTCAGATTTCAATTTTTTTTTTCATTTTTCTTAAAAAAAAAAAAAAAAAAAAAAACCAAAATTTAAACTAACTGAACAAAAAAAAAAAAAAAAAAGAACCGAACTGAAATTTCGATTTTGGCAAAAAATCGAACCCAACCCTACTTTGGGTTTCCACGTTGAAAAGTTGTTTAGGAGAGGTTCTCATTTGAAGGCGGTCGTAAGGGGATCTGGATCCTCTCCTAAGTTAATGGAGAGGATCCTCCTCATCAATCATCATGGAGCGTTGAATTTTTATCCAACGGTTACAAACAGAGGGTCCCTTTAAAGTTATAATGATTGTAGCCGTTGGATAAAAATTCAACGGCTCACGATGATTGATGAGGAGGATCCTCTCCATTAGCTTAGGAGAGGATCCAAATCCGTCGTAAGGTAGTCATATCGAATACTCCCTATAATTGTTCCCTGTGACTTACCGTGGGCTATCTTCTATGTTGATGGTCCACACATGGCAAGGAGTTTATGTTTGGACTAGACTAGCCTCTTAGAATTTGTGTCGGAAAGCTGTTGGGCCTGACACTTGGTTGAAGCAGACAGAAAGTACTTGTGCCGAGTGCTCTCTTCTATTGATCGGTCGTAAGGTTTTGACAATTCAATGACTTGGTTGCTATGGTTACGACCAATCATGATGCAGTGCTCGGTGCTGAAAACTCATAGGCTGATTTTGTGGGCTTTGTAGCTTGGCCCTTTGTTCTTGTGGTGTCCGTGGACTTCCTCAAAAAGACGTAGAGAATCATAGCTATGCATTATTTTGATAGGACAACAAAGGGTCCATATTAACATACAAAAAGAGTGAAATTGAAATGTCTGCCTTGCACAGGTCGGAATGCATATGACTCTGAACTGTTGATGCATATAACTCGAAATGCAGGAACTATCTAATTTCATGATTGACATTAATAAAACTTAAGAGAATTTTAAATTAAAAGGTTTTGTTGCAAATATTTATTTGTATGGTTGTCCATATTCGTAACCAATTGTGTGGTTAATCTCTTATATATTAATTGTTAACGTAAAGCAGAGACACTTGAGCTTCTCTTTCAAGTTGCTCTTACCCTATATAAAGTGGTCGAATGATAATAAAAGTAGACAATCACATTTCTCCTCCCAATCTCTATATTCTCTCTTGTTTCATAGTTTATTTTAAACACGTTCTTACTTTTTAAGTTTGTCAAGATTTTTACAAGACCCAACTTAATCCCATATTTATTGGCAGTTGATCAGTTTCTTTCCTAAGTCTACTCGAATTCAATTCGACTATACGTCCACTCAATGTTCTTGTTGTATTATGCACATTTGTTTCTTTTTTTTTTTTTTTCCTTTCTTCACGATGATATTGGCTTCTCACTTTCGGTTATCTTGGTTTTATTTGGTTCACTTTTCTTCTAGAGAAAAGATTTCAATTAAAAAGGGAGTGAAAAAAAAAGTGTTGGAAAATTTCCTAGTGCCCTAGTGCTACTTTTGACATCATACGACTTAACAGCAAATTCGTCTTATGCTCCCTCTTAGTAGAAAGTGTTATTATTTCATTAGACATTAAATTTGTGTGCTCACACCAAAGAAACCCTCGCATACATTTAATTTTTCTTTTGTTTGACAACAGTGCATAAACCCGAGAGAAAAAAGAAAGATTACAAAAGAATATCACAAGGTAAGGAGATCCGAATTATATCTGCAACTAGCAACCGACGACAAGGAGAATGAGGGGAATACAATTATTATAAAACAATATATTTACACTAAAAAGAGGGGTGGGGAGGGGAATAACTTGATCACTAATTTGTCATTTACGAAATTTCAACCTAGGACTATTTACTTACAAGTGAAGAGAAATATATAGTACTAAATAGCTATATTTCATATCATATTAATTGTACATGAGGGTGTTAATACCACATTTATGTCAAGATTATTTAAGTGTTTTTTTTTTTTTTTTGAACAAGCAGTATTATTTACATTAAGGGTGGGGGTGTGGGCTAAGCCTTCTGGGTTTAACCATAATAATGTGGTTCAAAACCACATTTGGGAAGAATTAAACTTAAGACATTTTACTTATAAGAAAAGAGAAATACCACTGAATGTAGTTTTTAATTTGTATGGGAATGGAATACAACTTTTCTCTTTCAAGATCATGTGTGAAGATATGATTGTGTTTATAGGGTGTGCATAAATATTCTTGACTTATTAGCCTTAATCGTCTTAGGCAAACACCTAACATTATGCTTATATTTCCTCATGTGTATAAATTATCAATGACAACCTCCACATCAACATAATTTTAGAGTAACCTCTAAATTTTAATTCATGAATGAGACATCAAAATTTGAAACAAGACAAACATGTATACCAATGTTAGGTGTGTTTGCCTTGCCTTGGAGATTTTTAACGACACACTGATACGGAATGTGCTGGTATTT